GGTCCTTTTGAATGTTTCCGTCTTTCCTTTTTCTTTGTTATTGTTTAATTGCTGACGTATGTTTTTGGCTTGCAGGTCCTCCTCATCCAGCTGACTCTGTCGACGAAGTATCAGCGACAGTGTACATTTATCTCGCGGGGTCATCTAACCTCGCAGGGTACGCACACTGGGATTTTTGTGATCGAATGTCTCTAATTGCTGTAAGATACGTCCTGGAGAGTCCTAAAGCGATGAGTATGCCCTCATTTTTTACCTGGGGTGAAGAATCGTTGGTATTGCTAGTCTGCCGGACGTGCCAGGATCTTGATATCATTCATCCATTGGAGAGAATAGAATCTAGTCGTCATTGGGGTCAAGTACTTGCAGGAAAAGTGCTACCGTGAGGGTGCACTAAGTAGAACAGACTTTGGTCACAATTGCCCCCTGGTCATCATTGCGCTCAGGAACTTGCAGGGGAAGTGCTAGTTTGAGGGCACACTAAGAAGAACAGAATCTGATCAAGATTGCACCCAGGTACATGCACTAGAACAGAACCTGGTCATCACCGCGCTCCTGCGGTTGCAGGGAAAGTGCTAGTGCGAGGGCACAATAAGTTGGAACTGGTCATCATTGCGCCCAGGTGCACATGCAGCGCAGGAGAACCGAATCTGGTCGTCATTGCACCCAGGAACTAGCAGGGAAGGTGCTAGTGTGAGGCCGCACTAAGTAGTAGCACTGCAGGCATAACTTCTTGCCACCCACCATCAGAAAAAGATAGCCTGTGGATATCATCATCCCGATCCCGATTCTGATATGTCACGAAGCAGGGATCCCGACAAGGATTGCGAAGCGATGTCCAAGGAACAGGAGATGGTGAGTCCAGACGGCGACTCCGAGCTCCTGACTGGAACAGAAGTCGATGGTATGCTGTTCGAACAACTCAGTCCTTGTAATGCTGAATGGGCCCGGATCGCCTTCGATGGACCGCAGTTAACCCCCTTGACCAGCAGCTGCTCGCCGTCCGGATGGGGACCGTGCCCGTCTTCGCAGTTCCTCCCTCAACGAGTTGCTAGCAATTCGCCGGGACAAGGAAATGCCCCCACACAAACACAGTGCATGCATATCCATACGTGCATGCCTGCACATGCACAAATGCACAGACACACATGTCAGCATTTGCACACCATTGTGGTGAGACCAGATGGAGGGGGATCTTCGGCAGGGGAAGCCCCTTCGAAATCCAAGGTGAGCGATGACCGTTGGATGGACGTGCAGAACGAGTCTGAGGAAGTGGAACTATTGAGGGAGGAGCACGGGGACGGGAATGAAGACGGGGCTTGTTGGAAGACGGATACACGTAGCAGTGCATTGCATCAGGAGGAGAACGTTCGACAACGCAGAGACAGACGAGAGAGAGTGGGCGGCGAAGAAGGTGTAGTTGTGCAAACTACCAAGGCTATAGACGAACCTTCTCCTGGGGTGCATGATCAAGGGGGTTGTGAACGAGAAGGGATGGGGCAGAAGGAGAACAACATGGAGTTTGAAGGGGACTTTGCAGGAGGAGACGAGAGTGGGGCAGACGAACAATCTAAGTATGGGGAGATCAATCCACCTGGACAATTTGGGAAGAAAAGGTACGATTGGTTCCGGTTCTAGTACTTTGTTGCACAAGTGTCTTTTTTTTTTTTTTTTTTTTTGACTTAGGAAGTTCCAAAGAAGACTGGTGTGCATGGAGGCGGGAATCACTGCCTAGGTCTCAGGTCTGCCACTTGATCCCGTTGTGGCAAGCCTTCTGCTCTGGATTCCCGATGCCGTAGTGAGTTTCGGGGCTTAAAAAAAAGAAGAAAGGAAGCGAGTTTCGGGACTGCCTTCTCACAGCTAAGGCTCTAAGCTTAATGGTGGGGAGGCAGCACGTGGTGACAACCGGATGCAGAGTTTTGAATTATAATTTCGAAGCCCTTTTTTTTTTCTTTTTCCACTGAGTTCCAAGCCGTTTTCGGACACGTGCAATGAGCCCGACATTTGTAGTATGAGATTTCTGTGTTGTTCTCAGAAAATGCTATGTTGGCCTCAGTTGCTGATATTGTCGAGTCTGTGTCTCTTTTGCTGTGCCGTCCGTGTCTCCGTGAGTCTGTCTGATGTTGGCTGAGTACCTTGAGTCTGTTTACGTGTGCCAACTATGCTCTCGTGCTGTGTTCCTGTGTCCTGGGAACGGTAGGTTAGTAGATAGGCGTCGACACAGGGGGCGGACTGAAATTGGGGCTGTAAGGCAACATACCGAAGTCAGCAGGTCAGACAGGGACAGAAGTAGAATTTGTGAGGGACGTGGTAGGGGTATACAGGTGACTCGGGTATGCCCAGATGGATCTGGTAGCTTTCCAGTAGGTCATGATGGCCAGAGCCCAAATGTAGATAGCTTTAGGGCTTAGATTAAGGCCGTGCAGATGAGTTACAGACAAAAATGGTGTTCTCGGAAAAGCGCACAAACACCCGGTAGGCATCGTGCACTTGGGAGAGGCAGGGTAGAGCCTGGAAGGGCCTTGGCCAAGAGGTACTGGAGACTATGAGGCAAGAGTATATCATTCGGTGTACTGAGCAGTCTGGGTATTCTCCCGACAGTCATGCAGCTGCTCCATCTAGAGAGAGAGTTAGGCCGACCACTGGGGTGAAGAGGAGGAACAAGAGAGTTGCAATCAGACTCGCTCTCTTTCACACTTCACATGCATGTAAACAGGTTGCGCAGCAAACTGGCGTCAAGCGCCCACTCAGAACTCGGAGATATAGTAACCAAGGACGCAGCTCAGATACAAGTTCACTTCGAATGGCTATGGCGACACATCGCCTGTCCAACTCTCTGTTCGCCACTTACTCAACACTGCTGTTCACACACAGGATCACCCTGGATATCCCACACGCATCACACTCTGTACACTCACACACACCCGCACACATCTACAGCTATGGCGGCTATGGCCGCTGCTACCCTATCGCTATGGCTAAGCTTCTTCTCGCCCACTTCGTCCTCGGGCTCACTGCAGACCACCTCGCACAAGTTGCTATGGCAGCGCTTCCGCATGGCTTATGCAGGAAATGAATGAATGGCTGGTCGCTGCCTCTCAATTTATACTTCTGTAGCTCGTTGGTCTGGCCCTTTCCGATGCCCGTGGTGCACACAGTCCCGTATGGTACTTGCTGGACTGGACTAGGACTGACCGGGACTGGGACTGCTGATTCAGCACGGGTAGACTCCACCACTTGCCCACTTGCCTCTGTCTCAAATGTGAGCAGCGTCGAAAGGCCACTTCCGGACCTTCCGGAAGTTCGTGGACTTGGGCTTTCGAGTACTGTAGCAGCTACGACCTTGACTTCTCAGGACTGTAGCAGCTATGACCTTGACCTTCAGAATCCCTACAGCTACGACCTCTACAGGGCTGTGACTCCTACTCGACAGACCTACAGATCGAACCCCTACCACTACACAGACCTACGACAGACAACAACAACTGTGAAAACACAGGTCACGGGTTCAAACACTCAGGGTGGACACAGATACTGTACACAGGTAAGGTGAGAACTAGGGATCGAGCCCTGGGATCTGCATTCGCTACTGCTAAAAGGTGAAAACCGTTTCAGAGTGATGAAGAAGACCTCCACGGCCGCGGAGTTAGGAGCAAGAGGGGAGCTACCTGCATATGGAGGGAGGTAGTAGAAGCCAGCACTGGGCCTGAGGTAGGTGAGGGAGCTGTAGTAGTTGTGATGGATGAGGAAGGAGGCGGGAGCCGACCGGGAGACTAACCTTTGGCTATGGTGGAATTTCATCTTCCTGGTTGGCGCTGCGCCAAGGAGGCCACTGTTGGTTCCGGTTGGATATGGACATCCTCTGGACGAAAGGAAATTGGACCAGATGGTGGGAGACAACGTGATAGTAGTGCGTTGTCCTCTGAACATTCATGCTAGGCATGGATGAACACCATAGCCGTTTGCTCTACAAAGAGGAGCCTAAAGGGGAACTCTTTCTTACCTGGCAGTAGGGGAGACCTGTTGGCCATGGATAATAGATAATACAAAATCAGGTGTCGTGGACCTTACATATCGCAGCAAAAAAGACCCGATGTCGCCGATGTAAAAACCCATCAACGCTCAGCCCTTCTGTCCTGCTGCTCAGGCTAAGAGGAGAACGAACTCCCGAACTGTACTTTTATCCTATGAGGATCACTGCCTCTTGTCCGCAATAAATACCAAGGCAGAAAATCACCGAGTTACCGTTGGAAATGCCGCCGGTGCGGCGTCCAGGAAACCCGAGGAACTCGATCCCACTACACAACGAGCCAGAAGTGATATCTTTTCAATAAACTCAGAAAAAACGAAAAGTAAAGAAGGCTCTAAAGAGCTCTAAAAACAGAAAAGCAAAAAAGGCTCTAAAAAACAGCGTCATCTCAACCTTTGCTACTCACACGCGGGGCCGACTTTCGAACCTTTTTTTTCGCTCAGCCATTCGCCCGTGAAATCTTCCCTCTTTTCTCCTCCAGATCGTCCCTTTGTCCTTGGCTCCCCCCCTCCCGTCCCCCTTCGCTTTATGGCTCTGAGAACCCTACACCCTCCCCTTGGTTATCACTTTCTTTCCGTTTCAACAACATTGCCACCATGTCCTCATTTAGTCGCGTGTTTCTTTTCTTCATTTTCATCAGTCCAGCTCTGAACAACTCCTCCGGGTAACCGATCACCTTCATTTCTTTCAAAAAAGTTTACCAGACTCCACCACAGCGAGAGTTTGATATTAGTATTGTCCAGTATCCTACAAATAACATTCGACACTGTTCCGCATTTTTGGATCAAGGGGGTGTAAGAGCCAAAACTCCGCAAAGTTCGGAATCGACCAACCCTCCCTTCCCAAATGGCTTCCAAGTTCTTGAACTTCTGGAAGCTGTGAATCCAAGCCGGGAAATCAGTAACAATCATCCTTGTTCCCAGATACTCAGCAATACCATTCCTTGGCTCTGTCCTCTCCAAAGTAAGGTCCTTGTGGTAGCAACCCATGATCTTGTCTAGTGTACTTTCAATGCGCTCAACTCCCTCTTTTTCCTTTCTGTCAAACCATCCTATTAGTAAAAGATCATCAATGAAATGACTGCCGTTGATGTATTTTGCGTCCTTCCCCAAAGTCACCAGAAACTGCTGCTCATCATGGATGCAAGAACGTTTGCAAGTGGAGGGCTAGTGTGGCATACTGCGCAGCCACACGGGCCTGCAGGGCCTGACCAGCGTTTTCAGCCTAAAACCCTGAAAACAAGGGCCTACAGGCCCTGTGTCGTTTTCAGCCTAAAAGCCTGAAAACAAGGGCCTACAGGCCCTGTGTCGTTTTCAGCCTGAAAGCCTGAAAACGAGGGCCTACAGGCCCTATGTCGTTTCAGCCTAAAACAGGGCCCTCCAGGCCCTGAGTCTTTTCAGCCTGAAACGGAGGGCCCTTTTCAGGCCCTCATAAGAACGACCTGCGCTGAAACTTGGGCACCAGACCAGGGTTTTAGCACAGGCCATTTTTGGCCTGTTTTCAAAACAACCTTTGTTTGAACTTCAACACCAGGGTCTGGCACGTTTTGGCATTGGCAAGAGCAGCCTCCTGGACGGGCCAGCACTATATAAGACTGGCCCG